GAAAAAATTGAAAAATGAAGGATAGAATAAGATTGGGAATGAAGGTATTAGAATTAAAGTAAAAGAATAAAATTAAAAAGAGGAATGTTAGAATAAGATTGGGAATGAATGTATTAGAATTAAAGTAAAAGAATAAAATGAAAAAGAGGAAAATAGAATAAAATTGGGAAATGAAAATTAGAATTAAAGAAAAAGAATAAAATTGAAAAAAGAGAATAAGATTGGGAATGAAGGTATTGAATTAAAGAAAAGAATAAAATGAAAAGAAAAATGATAGAATAAGATTGGGAATGAAGGTAAAAGAATAAAAGTAAAAGAATAAAATTAAAAGAGGAAATGATAGAATAAGATTGGGAATGAAGGTATTAGAATTAAAAGAATAAAATTAAAAAGAGGAAAAAAAATAGAATAAGATTGGGAATGAAGGTATTAGAATTAAAGCAAAAGAATAAAATTGAAAAGAGGAATGATAGAATAAGATTGGGAATGAAGGTATTAGAATTAAAGTAAAAGAATAAAATTGAAAAGAGGAATGATAGAATAAGATTGGGAATGAAGAAATTAGAAAAAAAGAATAAAAAAAGAGGAAATGATAAATAAGATTGAAATGAAGGTAAAAAGTAAAAGAAAAAAATTGAAAAGAGAATGATAGAATAAGATTGGGAATGAAGGTATTAGAATTAAAGTAAAAGAATAAAATTAAAAAAAGGAAATGATAGAATAAGATTGGGAAAAGAAGGTATTAGAATTAAAGTAAAAAGAATAAAATTGAAAAGAAAAATGAGAATAAGATTGGGAAATGAAGGTAAATTAAAAAAGAATAAAAAAAAGAAAAATGAAAATAAGATTGAAAAAGGAAGAATGAAAAGAAAAAAATTAAAATTGAAAAAGAGGAATGATAGAATAAGATTAGAATTAAATTAAATTAAAGCAAAGAATAAAATGAAAAAGAGGAATGATAGAATAAGATTGGGAAAAGAAGGTATTAGAATTAAAGTAAAAGAATAAAATGAAAAGAGGAATGATAGAATAAGATTGGGAAATGAAGGTATTAGAAAAAGAATTAAATTGAAAAGAATAAAATTGAAAAAGTAGGAATGATAGAAAAAGAATAAAAAATGAAGAAAGAGATTAGAATTAAAGTAAAAGAATAAAATTGAAAAAAAGGAATGATAGAATAAGATTGGGAATGAAGGTATTAGAATTAAAGTAAAAGAATAAAATTGAAAAAAGGAATGATAGAATAAGATTGGGGAATGAAGGTATTAAATTAAAGTAAAAAATAAAATGAAAAAGAGGAATGATAGAATAAGATTGGGAATGAAGGTATTAGAATTAAAGTAAAAGAATAAAATTGAAAAGAGGAATGATAGAATAAGATTGGGAATGAAGGTATTAGAATTAAAAAAAGAATAAAATTGAAAAGAGGAATGATAGAATAAGATTGGGAATGAAGGTATTAGAATTAAAGTAAAAGAATAAAAATGAAAAAAGAGGAATGATAGAATAAGATTGGGAATGAAGGTAAAAAGAATTAAAGTAAAAAGAATAAAATTAAAAGAGGAAAGATAGAATAAGATTGGGAATGAAGGTGTTTTTTTTTTAAAGTAAAAGAATAAAATAAAAGAAATGATAAAGATTTAAAAAGAAGGTATTAAATTAAAGTAAAAGAATAAAATTTCTTAATGAAGAATAAGATTGGGAATGAAGGTATTAGAAAGTAAAGAAAAAAGAATAAAAAATGAAAAGTTTAATGATAGAATAAGATTGGGAATGAAGGTATTAGAATTAAAGTAAAAGAATAAAATTAAAAGAGGAATGATAGAATAAGATTGGGAATGAAGGTAAGAATTAAAATAAAAAAAGAATGAAATTAAAGAGGAATTTAAATTTGAAGGTTTAAAATTAAATAAAAAGAAAAAAATTTTAGGAATGATAGAATAAGATTGGGAAATGAAGGTATTAGAATTAAAGTAAAAGAATAAAATGAAAAAACGTTGAATGAATGAAAAGAAAAAATGAAGGTTTATTGTTTATATTTTTAAAAAGAATAAAATTTCGAAAGAGGAATGATAGAAAAGATTGGGAATGAAGGTATTAAAATTAAAGTAAAAGAATAAAATTAAAAGGAATGAAAGAATAAGATAGAATAAGATTGGGAAAAAATGAAGGGAATATTAAATTAAAGTAAAAAATAATAAAATGAAAAAAGAAATGATAGAATAAGATTTGGAAATGAAGAATATTAAAGAATTAAAGATCCTAATAAAAAAAAAAGAGGAATGAAAAGTGGAATAGAATAAGATTGGGAATGAAGAGAATTAAAGTAAAAAGAATAAAATTGAAAAGAGGAATGATAGAATAAGATTGGGAAAGAAGGTATTAGAATTAAAATAGTAAAATAAAATTTTGAAATGAAATAGAAAAGATTGGGAATTTTCTTAGAATTAAAGAAAAATAATAAAATTTCCAAAGTTTTAATGATTTAATTAGATTTTCGTTTGAAGGTATTAGAATTAAAGTTTAGAATTTAAATTGAAAAGTTTTTTCAATAGAATAAGATTGGGAATGAAGGTATTAAATTTTATAAAAGAATAAAATTTTTTTAAAGAGGAATTATAGAATAAGATTTTAAATTGAAGGTATTAGAATTAAATAAAAGAATAAAATTTTTTAAAAGGAATGATAGAATAAGATTGGGTTAAGGTATTAGAATTAAAGAAAAGAAAAAATTAAAAATGAATGATAGAATAAGAAAAAATGAGTAATAGAATTAGGAAAGAATAAAATTAGGTAAAATTAGAATAAGATTGGGAATAAGAATTAAAAGAAGGAATAAAATTGATTAAATTTGGCTGGAAAGGAATTAAAGTGAAAGTGAAAAAATTCATAAAATTAAAAAAGAAATAGAATAAATAATAAATTGTTAGTCTAGAATTTAATAATTTAAAATATTTTAAAAAAGAAAAAAATAAATTTCAAATCGTTTGAAATTACAGATGTAAAAAAATTGTAACAGATGCGGTTGAAATATTTAAAAATAAACAATTTCAATATTTTTGCCCTTCCAATTAATTCCACATGTGGGATGCACCCCCCCACATACAAACACACACACACACACACACACACACACACACACACACACACATATATATATATATATATATATATATATATATATATATATATATATATATTAAATATTTTAATTGAAAAGATGTATAAACATCAAATATTAACACAAACACAATAATATTAAAAAAGAATATAGGTTTAAAAAGATACCGAGGTCATAAAAAGATAAGAACAAAAACCTCTTTTTACCATCGCCTGAAGAAACACATTTGTAATGTTGAAACATAATTGCGATTGTGTAGCGATTTTTAACATATTTTTTTTAATATCCTAAAATAACATATATATATATATATATATATATCGTTTTCTATCTATACGTTATTTTTTATGGGTACAACTTATTTAAGTAAATGCAATGTTTTTTAATTAAATAGTATTAATTACATTTATCGACCTGACTGTTCGAAAAAGTTAGTAGAAAATATTCGTTTTCCGGTAAATTTAATTAATACTGTTTAATTAAAAAAATCGATTATTTCAAATAAGTTGTTGGATAAATAAAAATAAAAATAGTGAAGAGATTGATATAGATAGATAGATAGATAGATATGAACAGACTGAGATAGATAGATAGATTGGTGAACAGACTGAAATTGATAGATAGATAGATAGATAGATAGATAGATAGATAGATACATACATACATAGATACATACACACACACCTGTATACATACACAAATAGATGAATAGATAGATAGATAGATAGATATCATTTTGAGACTGAGATAGATAGATAGATTTTTAGATAGATTTTTAAATAGATAGATAGATAAATAGATTTAACGATTTTTCATACAAAATAAATGAATTTAATGATCGTTTAAATTTTAAAATTTTCTAAAATTTTTCTCTTGTTCCAAAAGAAAATCATTGGATTTGCCAGGGTTAGGGTTAGGGTTAGACCCCCTCAGAAGACAAAACGCCTCGGTCATGATAATTTTTTTCTTTTTGTCTTTATTCATACGTAGATAAATAATTAAATATATGTATGTATATGCGTAAATGTGTTTATGTGTCTATCGATATGTGCTTAATTTTGAGTGTCTACATGTGAATTTCGTTTTTCTGTGTATAGTTTTCTACTTTTCAAATGTGTGTCTGTATGGGTCTGTACATGTGTGTGTTCGTTCGTATAAATGCGCACGGGTGTATGTGTTTGTTAGCATGTATCCATGTCTAAGTGTTTGAGAAAGAAGTAGCCGCGCATGCGCAAGTGGTTGCTTTTAAAACTATTTTTTTTTTTTTAATATACAAGTATTTCTAGTAACATTTTTAAGCTTTTATATATACTATCATATTAATAAAAGTTTAAAATTTTTTATTAACCTATATTTTTCCGGTTTAACTTTCTTCATGTTTGCTTTATGAAGGCATTTTTCGAAATTCTGTAAAACGATGCCATTCCATTAAAAATCTTGGACAGAATAAAAAAAAAAAAATAACGAAACAAAGAAAAAGATTATTCTTAAGTAAGATTTATTACGGAATGGAGGAAAAATCAATAAATTTCTTTGCTCATTAAAAATCGGGCAGTGAATACGGAATATTTGATCTCGACATGTGTTATCAAGATTGAGCGGAATATACACGGTTATTGGGGCTTTCATAAGCAGCTAGCTCTATCTCAGATTACGTGGCTCACGTTTCAAGAATTTCAATCAGGGTGCGTTTAAACGGACCAAAGCATTCAGTACAGTCAATCAAACAGCTAAACATTGGATGGCAATCAAAATGGGTTTCGCAATTGTTTATCGTCATAAATCGGAAACAACCAGTCTGTCATGTTATTTAACCCATAGCTTGTTGGAAAAGGGACATTTCATGACAAAACAGATTGCGCAAATATTCTGCGACATAATGTTCCTACTCACGTGATTTATCAACAAAGAACCACTCTATCATGTTATTGTCACCCAAAATTATTAGAGAAGGTTTTTTTCTGGTCGACAAGGCCGAAGTTTTGAACGAAAATTAAACCAAAATACTTTTTTTAATCGTTATTCGGCGTTAAGAGTACACGTTTTCTAAGAATTTTTACTTTGGTTTAAAAAACACGTTTACCCGAAAAAAAAAAACGTTCCCAGTAATAATAAAATACAAAGTAGGCAGATATCAATATATATTGTATATATATATATATATATAAGGTAATAATTGTTCGTTGGTAATATAATAATTGAATCCTAATGATATAAAAATATTAAAATTGATGTAAGAAATAAAAGATGGAATACTTATATATATATAATAATGTTTGGAAACATTAATTTCATTTTTGCATTTCATTTCGTTGTTGAAAAAAGTGCTATTTGAAACCAAAAAGTTTTAAAAGACTCTGGTGAAATAAATTATTATAATGGTAATTTAAATTCTGTTTTTCTTTTAAATATATATATATATATATATATATATATATATATATATATATATATATATATATATATTGTTTTTTTACCCGGTTATATTCTCCGATTTCTTTTTGAATTTGTAGATCAAAGTAATGAATTGGATCGTGATTACGATTCCAATGTAATAAATTATAACCATGGAATAATAGTGTTTGAGACCAAATATATATATATATATAATATATATATATATATATATATTTATATATATATATATATATATATATATATATATATATATTTACATAACATCTTATAAATAGCTATAATTGTGCGATTAGATTATTTTGGAACGCTTTTACCATCCTTAGCATGTCCCATAAATTATTTAACTAAAAATGTTGGAGGCCATCTATATTCTATCACTAAAAAAGCTTCTTTGTAAACAGAAGGAAACTTTTATTAGGCCTCCAACTAATTACCATTTAAATATTTTATTTTCCCACCAATAAATTTTTTTGTCCATTGATCTTTTTTTTTATATAATTTAAAATTGGTAAATTTAGCCTTTGTTGAATTTTGATTCCGAAAACTGTTAGCTAAGGAATTTTTTGATTTTATTTTATTTTCAAAAAGTGGTAAATAATGAAACAAATTTTATCTATTCATGGCAGTGATAAAATTTTATACCACCAACATATCTTTTAAATATATATATATATGTGTTGTATGTGTGTGTGTGTGTGTGTGTGTGTGTGTGTGTGTGTGACATTGACAGATTCTTCTTAGATAACAAAACTCCTGTAGGATGTTTATTTTTATTCTTGATCATTGATCCTGGCAATATGGTAATTATATAAAAAAAATTAAACTCAATATTATCTGAGTCCATTTGGCATAAAAAATTTTAATTAAAGACCATTTAAAAAAAAATTGTACAACAAATAGACCGGAAACTACCTACACAATAGACTCTTCCAGGCCTATATTAAGTAGGCGACATAGCACTCTAGAGAGTGACAGAGAGACAGAGAGACAGTGAGAGTACGACTACCAGTATTGGACACTAACATATAGTAAGCTCCGCTTACACTATCTCTGTAACCTGTTGTTAATATATCTTTCTTACATCTAATCCGTGTTCCGTGTTTTCCTTCTGTGGTCCCGACTTTGGCCCCACATCAGTGGCGACGAGGATTCTAGAAACGCACTCACGGCGAAACCTAAATACCTTACCAATCCCACATCTGGGTCGACGAAGAATTCTAGAAACGCATTCACGTCGAAAAACCGCAATACTTTGCCAGTCCCACAACAGTGGCGACAGAAAAAATTCGAGAATTTCGTCTCACCATATCAATAGCGACAGTACTCGAAAAATACACAAACTACACGCGTTCTCACAGCAGTGTTGAACGAGGAATTAAGCTGGTATTACTACATTAGCGATTTAAAAGCTAAACAACCAGCGTCTACATATATTCCAATACCAAACATCAGTGGCGAACTAGCGATTCGACATCTACGGAATATTAAAATCTGTTCAAAATACGAGAACGATTTCTACACACCCACACACACACACAAAAAAAAACCGTTGTTCGTAAAACAAACTGACAATACAAGAGCAAGTACTACCATTGTACTCAAGTTTTCGAAAAAAAAACTATTGAAATTTTTTTTTTTATGTAACTGAGTTGAACTAGGGCATAAAATTATTCTCCCCTCAAATTCACTGAGGTGAGTTTTCTTTTTTACCTTAAAAAAAAAAAAAAAAAAATACATAAGTGTGGTGAAAATTTATTCAATTACGTTAAAATTAACGGAACCACGGAAAAAAAAAAGCTAAACACATAATTTAGTTTAGTTTAACTATTGTCTGTCCATTTTTTTTTTGTAAAAAAAAAAAAAAAGGAAAAAAAATCTATCAAGATTTTTTTTTGTGTACCTCCTCTTAGTACACGTGTTTCAAAGCAACAAAAAAAAGCGCTGTCATTTTTAAATATGGAAGATTTGCAAAAAGTAGTTGCCCAAATGTTAAAACTAAATTTGGATCAGCAACAAAAATCAGAAGAAAGACAACAACAACTATTTTTGGAATTACATAAACAACAAATGGAATTCCAAAAAATTACGCTTCAGAATGCTGAACTACAACAGAAACAACTTAAAGAATTACTCGTAAATGCATTAAAAGGCTCAAACTCTGAAAAAGATACAATATTCTCCCAGAGTACAATCTACAATTCAATGGAAACCTTTGAATACGTACCAGAGGAAGACAAAACGTTCGACGCTTTTTACAGGCGCTACGAAGATATTTTCAACGTAGACTGTGAACAATGGTCCAGTAAAAAAAAGGTACGTCTACTATTGAGAAAACTGGGAACTACAGAACATAGTAGGTTCGTAGACTTCATACTACCCAAGAAAACCACTGACTTGGATTTTTCAGAGACTATTAAGCTCCTATCGGAACTATTCGGGCCTAACACAACCTTGTTCCACAAACGTTGGAAATGCCTGAACACACAGTCAAAGACAACCAGCAAGATTTTCTAACGTTTGCAGCATCGGTAAACAAGCTCTGTAATGATTTTAAACTAGCCGAACTGACTGCCGATGATTTTAAGTGCTTAATTTTCGCACAAGGTCTAGTATCAGCAGAAGACGCCGAAGTCAGACGACGGGTACTGACCAAGCTTGAGAACGAACAAGGATTGACTCTCCAAAATCTGGCAGAGGACTGTCAAAGAGTAATATCTGTAAAGTGTGACTCAAACACTATCGAGGAATCAGGTGTGAATCAGATTAATAAAATCAAAAGTAAGTCTACCTCCTATTCCCTCAAAAAGACAAAAGGAAAATCTCATGTCCTAAATTACGCAGTAACCAAAACCCAAATAGGTTAAAGAAACCGCCCGGACCATGTTAACATTGTGGTAAATGGCATTGGATGAAATTCTGTCCAGTTAAGAACAAAAAATATTGCAAATTTGCAATAAAAGTGGTCATAGTTTGACTTCGTGCTGCTACGCCAACAGAACGAGAAAACCCAAAAATAAATTTAGGCAAGCTCAATCTGACAATATTGTCGATAGGAATTTAAGAAAATATGTAACAGTGGATATTTTCAATAAGTCCATTAAATTCCAGCTTGACTCGGGTTCTGATATTTCAGCCATTAACTGGCGTACTTGGCGAAAAATTGAACAAGCCGACCTTATTAAAAACGGATAAAACAGCAAAATCCGTAACTGGCGAAAAGATTAACATTTTAGGCGAGGTAATACTTACAGTAACACTAAATGGAGTTACCAAAAAGCTCAAAGCCTACGTATTGAAAAACTTCAGATAACTTATTTGGAACAGATTGGATAGAAAAATTCAATCTTTGGGATTGCCCAATGAGTACATTTTGTCGCAAGATACAAAGTACAACGTCCAATTTGGTAAATCTCAAAAAGGAACTCAAACAACAATTTTCCCAGGTTTTTTTTTTCTGGCGGCCTTGGGAAATGTACTAAAATGAAAGCTAAGTTCAAGGTGAAGGACGGTGCACCACCGGTAATCAAAAAGAAACGGAATGTCCCTTTCGCTGCTCTAGAGCAAATAAACAAAGAGTTAGATAGACTCGAACAAGCAGGCATTCTGTCAAAAACAGATTTCAGCGAGTGGGCAGCACCTACGGTCTACGTAAAAAAGAAGTCCAATCAAATACGAAGCCAACGCGATCAAAAACATGCCGGCCCCAGATAACGTTCAAGCGTTACAAAGCTTCCGCGGCCTAGCTAACTTTTACCAAGGGTTCATTAAGAACATGCAAAATTTGAGAGGGCCTCTCAACCAACTTTAAAAGACATAAACCATGGTCATGGACCCCGGAATGCCAAGACGCATTCGAGAAAATCAAGAAAACTCTTACTTCAGACCTCTCCCTCACCCATTACGACCCTAGTCTCGACATCATAGTCGCAAGTGATGCAAGCTCGTACGGCATTGGTGCTTGCATTTTACATAAACTGCCAGATGGTTCGCGAAAAGCTGTGGCTCACGCATCAAGATCTCTAGTTCGATCTCGACATGCCCCAAGTCTCTCCTGAAGTGCGACGCTCAGGAAGGAAAAGGAAATTTACTCAACCGCTCGACGTAAATCCCAAGAGGAAAAAGTATTAAGTTTTATTTTTTTCTCTCCTTTTCAAAAAGAAAACTCTTTGGAAGGGGGGTATTGTGAGACCGGAAACTACCTACACAATAGACTCTTCCAGGCCTATATTAAGTAGGCGACATAGCACTCTAGAGAGTGACAGTGAGAGTCTAGTACGACTACCAGTATTGGACACTAACATATAGTAAGCTCCGCTTACACTATCTCTGTAACCTGTTGTTAATATATCTTTCTTACATCTAATCCGTGTTCCGTGTTCCGTTCTGTGGTCCCAACTTTGGCCCCACATCGAATGAACGCATTTAAAATGGTAGGATTCAGTTCAAACGATATCTGAATGATAAGCAGCTGGTCAAAATGATAAAACGATTTAGAAATTCATGAATCAAAACCAGTAACGAAAATTTATGTAATACACTTCTACATGTGCCGTGTCTCTTCAGGATGTAAGCGATCATGGCTCTCTACAACTTCCTACCTTCCATAAATCTAAGTGACCCTTACTATCGCCCCCAA